TACCCCCTGAAGGGACCGATGTTTGGACAACCTCCCCATATGTCCTTTCTGTCCCGTATCTATCCCAACTACAAACCCTAAACCCTAAATCCTAAACCCTAAATCCTACACCCTAAAACCTAAATCCTAAACCCTAAAACCTAAATCCTAAACCCTAAACCTAAACCACAAATCCTAAACCCTAAACCGCGCGGCTCACCCACTGGACAGGTGATTAAGCAATAAAGTTAGGGTTGAGGATTTGGGCCTGACTTTGGAGCGGCTAGGATTTAGGGTTTAGAACTTTTAGGATCTAGGTTTTAGGGTTTAGGATGTAGGGTTAGGGTTTCATGGGCAAATCTATGTCTAATGGGCCGCAAGTAGGTATCCGAACCTCTTCAGAGGTCCAGCTATCGCATATAAGACGGTATTTAACACTTAACACTTATACCACCTAGCTTACAGCTTATCACTTATGATAAATTATCACTACCTGCAAACCTTCAAGCCTGTTGGTTGAGAGGGGCCAAACACTGGCCCTCGCAATTCGGAAGATCATACCCCCTGTATAACCCCCAAACATACCCAATCAAAATATAGTAGTTTCCATTTTCTTTTCCATTATCCCTATATAACCCCAATGTACACTCAGCTGTGAGCTGAAGGTTTCGAAATTCGAGGTTTCAACCCATAGGGTTTAGGTCAAGGGCTTCAGGGTTTTACCCCTAAACCCTAAATCCTAACCCCCAAACCCTAAATCCTATACCCTAAACCCCTGTCTTCCTGAGTTGGAGGATCCTTCTGAAGAACCCTAAAGGAGTATGTTGGTTCATACAGGCCATAGTCTAAACTCCTAGCATCACCCTCATAACCTTTTCGTAACCCCCTAGTTCAAGGTTTAGGGTTTAGGGTCTAAACTCCTAGTATCCCCCTTAACAACCCCTATAGTAATCCCCTATATAACTAGGGTAGGGATTGACAGTAAAACTTTGCTTCATTCCCTTCCCCGAGTACTACCAATCGCTTATTGAAATATTCCTTGTACTAGCCCAAATATGTGTCCTCACGGGGTGGGGTGTGCTTTAACATTGGGAAGGAAGGACTTCTACAAAAACTGCCAGCATTGCCTTTTGTTAGGGTTTAGGGTTTAAAGTTTAAGGTTTTAACGAACCCAAGGCACATGCATGTCGGCTGTGCCGCGGATTGCTATCACAGCCAAATCTTTTTGACGTCCAGAGCCTCACAAGAACTCCGGATTTTATCAAGAACATGTGACCATGTAGGATTCAGGGTTTCAGGTGGTGGGTTACCAAGTGGGTCCCCATGAAAGGCTAGTGTGTAGCTCACGCAAGAGCAATGCGGGCATGTGAGGGCTACAGTGGCCTCCTTCACAGTACCCACCTAAGAACTACCCACCCGGAAGTATTTGCGGTCCCAAAGCTAAGCGAAGAGCCTGTCCTGCTGTTTCTGTGTTGCCCCTGAGGGGCATTCCCTATCCTGTGGACTTCTGGCTTGAAGCCAGGACCTCATGCCGCTTTCGCACCGTTTGCGCTTCAAGGACATATGGGATGTATAGGCACACCTGGGTTTAGGGCTTAGGGTCTAGGGCTTAGGGTTGAGGGCTTTGTGATTGGGGCTTAGAGTTTAGGGCTAGGGTTTGAAAGAAACCTTGGATATGTTCCCTCAACAAATCTACATACCCTGTGTACCTCGCGCGCTTCCTATGCATGCAATACATCCCATCTACGTGCTTCATCTTCTCCTGTCAGTACGCAGACCAGATGTATATACTCGCATAGAACGTGTATATGTGTATCCAATCTACCTTAGAGCTCCCTATACGACCTACATTGCATTTTTCAGATCTTCTGCAAAGCCCCGTATTCTACTCATGACAGACATTAAGTAGATGTCGGGCTTCGCGTGGCGCCGCGACGGAGGAACACGGTCATCTGCGCCTCAACCTTTTCGCTTTGGGGTTGGGGCTTAGGGGTGCAGAGAATACATGGCATGCTTAGGGTGTAGGGTTTGGGGTTTAAGGATAACTCTAAGCCTTCAAACCAGCAAAAATTCAGGGATTCGTGGAAGACCCTGAACCCTGAATGCACCCCCTCCCCCAAAAGAAGAAAAAAACAGCAGAAAACGTTGTGACAGTCCAGCAGCCCCTTTGGAAAGAGAGTGGATTAGGGTTTAGGATTTAGGGCTTCTCTTTGTAACAGCAATCCTCGAGCCTTTAGAGACACCTGAACGATTTCAACTGGAGAAGGTTGATACGGCACCTACTAAAAGGCAGCAGTAGCCCAACAAAATGTCAAATTGATTAAGCCCCCCACGTCTGGAAACCCGCGCACGCTGTGGATGGATGGAACATTGCAATAACCTGATTACGCCAAACTACAGGGATCACTGGAATCGGGGTGGCCGAAGTGGCTTCAGCTTTCCTCCATCCTGTCAGTAGACTGGGTACTACTCTCACCAAGAAGCCCGATACAATTGGGGCAATATCATAAGGGCTTCTACAGGCAGGTCTTTACATAAATCCATTAGGTTGTTATTCAACTGTTCCTGAGTGCGGGCAGCATCCTAAACCCTAAACCCTGTACCCTAAACCCTGTACCCACCCTGTACCCTTTAGGGAAAAAGCTGAATGTTGTCGAATCCGCGCCCGAAGCCCGGAACCGAAAGTCCCCAGCCCTGCGTCTTGCACCCGAGAGGTCCTCCTTGCTTAGGGTTGAGGGTTCAGTGTTTGGGTTTAGGGTTCAGGGTTTGGGGTGTATTAACTTGTGGGGTTTACGGTTTGGGATTGAGGGTTCTGACCCCGAAAACCTTTGCCAAAAGGACTGTAGTCTTCATTGGCATTTTTGGGGGTTTCATGCTGGTATTGGGGAGGGTAAGATCCTTAACCCCAGATCCTGAACCCTAACCCAGGCCATATAAAGGATTTAAAAAATGGTCCCACCCTCCACAAAATGGGAAACTAGGGGATTTAAGTTAGGATGTTTTTTAGGACCCTCTAGGAGGTTTGCAAAGGCCTACACCCGAAACTGTCTTAGTTTTAACAACCTTGATCAAGACGCGACTACTCCTACCTGCCGAATCCCCTGTTTAGGGTTTAGGGTTATCCCAGTTTTCAAGTCATGCTCCATTTGATTCTTCTTTGTTGGGGTCCTAGACCCCCTCAACCCCCAAACCCGAAACCCTAAACAATATCATTGTCCTATACAGCCTACTTCATGCTTTGTTTGGGGGGGTCAGGTGAGCCTCTTCTTCCGGATCGCGGACGCAAGCCAAGTCCTAGCGACAACATCTGGTTCTACGCAGGACAACTTTAGGGTTTAGGGCTTAGGGTTTAGGGTTAGGGTTTAGGGCTTAGGGTTTAGGGTTTAGGGTTTAGGGCTTAGGGTTTAGGGTTTAGGGTAAGATCTT